ACAGCTCGTAAAGAGCTTCGATTTGGTATATTATAGGTCCAGTGATGATTTCTAGATCAAAAGTTATAGCCGTTTTCAGTCAAAGATCTCGGATTTTTTTTTCTTCCGAAACTAATGAAAACATGGGTATTTTCGCCTGAAAAATTGGTTTGGTAGGCTACGTCCCGCCACAATTATAGAGCTCAAAAAGAGCTTTGATTTGGTATAATATAGGCCCAGTAACGATTTCAACATAAAAAATTATGGCCGTTTTCAGTCACAGTTCTCCAATTTTTTTTCCTTCGAAAGTATTGAAAACAAGTGAATTTTGGCCCGAAAAATTGAGTTGGTGGGTTATGCCACGATTGTAGAGCTCGAAAAGTGTATTGCTTTGGAATATTATAGGCCCAGTAACGATTTCTAGATAAAAAGTTATGGCCGTTTTCAGTCACAGTTCTTCGGTTTTTTTCCTCCGAAACTGATTAAAACAATTGAATTTTGCCCCAAAAAATTGTGTTGGCGGGCTACGAAAGGTCACAATTGTGGAGCTCAAAAAGAGCTTCAATTTTGTATATTTTAGGCCGAGTAATGATTTCTAGATCAAAAGTTATGACTATTTCCAATAAGAGTTCCAAGTTTTGTTTTCCGCCGAAATAGATGAAAACAAGTGACTTTTGGCCTGAAAAATTGAGTTGGCGGGCTATGCCCCGCCACGATATTAGAGCTTGAAAAGAGCTTCGATTTCGTATATTATAGGTCCAGTAACGATTTCTAGATCAAAAGTTATGGCCGTTTTCGGTCACAGTTCAATGATTTTTTTCCTCCGGAACTAATGAAGACAAGTGGATATTGGTATGCAAAATTAGGTTGACGGGCTTTCCCCTACCATGATTGTAGAGCTTGAAAAGAACTTCGATTTGGAATATTATAGGTCCAGTAACGATTTCTAGATCAAAAGTTATGGCTATTTTCAGTCAGAGTTCAAAGTATTTTTTTCCTCCGAAACAGAAGAAAACAAGTGAATTTCGGCCTGAAAAATTGAGTTGTTCGGCTGCGCCCCACCAAGATGGTACAGCTTAAAAAGAGCTTCGATTAGGTATATTATAGGTCCAGTAACGATTTCAAGATCAAATGTTATGACCGTTTTCAGTCACAGTTCTTCGATTTTTTTTCTACCGAAACTAATGAAAACATGTGAATTTTGGGCTGAAAAATTTGTTCGGCGGGCAACGCCCCACCAAGATTGTAGAGCTTGAAAAGAGCCTCGATTTGGCAAATTATATGCCCAGTAACGATTTCTAGATCAAAAGTTATGGCCGTTTTCAGTCACAGTTCTCTGATTTTTTTTCCTCCGAAAATGATGAAAACAAGAGAATTTTGGCCTGAAAAATTGGGTCAGCGGGCTGCGCCCTGCCATGATTGTAGAGCTCGAAAAGAGTTTTGATTTGGTATATTATAGGCCCAGTAACGATTTCTAGATAAAAACTTATGGCCGTTTTCATCCATAGTTCTCTGATTTTTTTCCTCTGAAATTGATGAAAACAAGTGAATTTTGGCCCGAAAAATTGGGTTGGCGGGCTACGCGGTACCATGATTGTGGACCTCAAAAAGAGCTTAGATTTGGTATATTACAGTCCCAGTAACGATTTCTAGATCAAAAGTTAGGGTTGTTTTCAGTCACAGTTCTTCAATTTTTTTTCCTCCGAAAGTGATGAAAACAAGTGAATTTTGGCCCGAAAAATTGTGTTCATGGGTTACGTCCATTAACTATTGTACAGATTGAAAAGAGCTGCGATTTGGTATATTATAGGCCCTGTAACGATTTCTAGATCAAAAGTTTTGGCCACTTTCACTCACAGTTCTCCGATTTTTTTTCATCCGATACTGGTGAAAACAACTGAATTTTGGCCCAAAAAATTGGGTTGATGGGCTACGCGCTGCCTTGATTGTAGAGCTTGAAAAGAGTTTCTATTATGTATATTATAGGCCCAATAACGATTTCTAGATCAAAAGTTATGGCCGTTTTCAGTCACAGTTCTCTGATTTTTTTCATTCGAAACTGATGAAAACAAGTGAATTCTGGCCCGAGAAATTGAGTTGGCAGGATACGCCCTGCCACGATAGTATAGCTCGAAAAGAGCTTCGATTTGCTAGGGTATAGGCCCAGTAACGATTTCTAGATCAAAAGTTATGACCGTTTTCAGTCGCAGTTCTCTGATTTTTTTTCCTCTGAAAGTGATGAAAACATGTGTATTTTGGCCTGAAAAATTGAGTTTGCAGGCTACGTCCAGCCACAATTGTACAGCTTGAAAGGAGCTTCGATTTGGTATATTATAGGCCCAGTAACGAATTCTAGATCCAAAGTTATGGCCGTTTTCAGTCACAGTTCTTCGATTTTTTTCCTCCGAAGGTGATGAAAACAAGTGAATTTTGGCCCAAAAAATTGTGTTCACGGGCTACGCCCCACCACGATTGTAGAGCTCGAAAAGAGTTCTGATTTGGAATATTATAGGCCAGTATCGATTTCTAGATCAAAAGTTATGGCCGTTTTCAGTCAAAGATCTCCGATTTTTTTTTTCTTCTGAAACTAATGAAAACTAGGGAATTTTGGCGTGAAAATTAGTTTGGTTGGCTACGTCCCACCACAATTGTAGAGCTCAAAAAGAGCTTCGAATTGGTATATTATAGGCCTAATAACGTTTGTAGATAAAAAAATTATGGCTGTTTTCAGTCACAGTTCTCCAATTTTTTTTTTCCTCTGAAAGTGTTGAAAACAAGTGAATTTTGGCCCAAAAAATTTTGTTGGGGGGCTACGCCCCACCACGATTGTAGAACTCAAAAAGAGTTTTGATTTGGAATATTATAGGCCCAGTAACGATTTCAAGATAAAAAGTTATGGACATTTTCAGTCACAGTTCTCTGATTTTTTTTCCTCGAAAGGAGGTGAAAACAAGTGAAGTTTGCCCTGAAAAATTGATTTAGTGGGCTTCGGCCGGCCACGATTGTACAGGTCGAAAGGCGCTTCGATTTGGTATAGTATAGGCCCAGTAACGATTTCTATATCAAAAGTTATGGCTGTTTTCAGTCACAGTTCTTCGATTTTTTCCTCTGAAACTGATGAAAAGAAGTGAATTTGACCCCAAAAAATTTTTTGGTGGGCTACGAAGGTCACAATTGTGGAGCTCGAAAAGTGGTTCGATTTTGTGTATTATAGGCCGAGTAATGATTTCTAGATCAAAAGTTATGACTATTTTCAATAAGAGTTCTATGTTTTTTTTTCCACCGAAACAAATGAAAACAAGTGACTTTTGGCCTGAAAAATTTAGTATATTATGCCCCGCGAAGATAGTAGAGCTTGAAAAGAGCTTCGATTTGGTATATTATAGGTCCAGTAACGATTTCTAGATCAAAAGTTATGGCATTTTCAGTCACAGTTCTCCGATTTTGTTTCATTCGAAACTTATGGAAACAAATAAATTTTTGCCCAGAAAATTGAGTTGGCAAGCTACGCGTTGTCGTCATTGTAGAGCTCAAAAAGAGCTTCGATTTGGTATATTATAGGCCCAGTAATAATTTCTAGATAAAATGTTTAGGCCGTTTTCAGTTACAGTTCTCTGATTTTTTTCCTCCGAAACTTATGAAAACAAGTGAATTTTGGCCCCAAAAATTGGGTTGCTGGGCTATTCCTGCCATGATTGTAGAGCTCGAAAGGAGTGTCGATTTGGTATATTATAGGCTCAGTAACGATTTCTAGATCAAAACAAGTGAATTTTGGCCTGAAAAATTGAATTGGCGGGCAACGCCCGGCCAATATTGTATAGCTCAGAAAGAGCTTTGATTTTGCATAGAATAGGCCTAGTAACGATTTTTAGATCGAAAGTTACGGCTATTTTCAGTCACCGTTCTCCAAATTTTTTTCTTCCGAAACTGAAGAAAATAAGTGAATTTTGGCCCCAAAAATTGGGTCGAAGGGCTACGTCCCCCCACGATTGTAGAGCTGGAAAAGTGTTTTGATTTGGTATATTATACGCCCTGTAACGATTTCTAGATAAAAAGTTATGGCCGTTTCCAGTCACAGTTCTCTGATTTTTTTCCTCCGAAATTAATGAAAACAAGTGAATTTTGGCCCGAAAAGTTGAGTTCGCGGGCTGTGCCAGGCCAAGATTGTACAGCTCAAAAAGAGCTTCGATTTGGTATATTATAAGCCTAGTAACGATTTCTAGATCAAAAGTTATGGCCCTTTTCAGTCATAGTTCTCAAATTTTTTTTCCTATAAAAGTGATGAAAACGAGTGAATTTTGGCCCAAAAAATTGAGTTGGCGGGCCACAGCTGTGCACGATTGTACAGCTTGAAATGAGCTTTGATTTGGTATATTATAGGCCCAGTAATGATTTCTAGATCAAAAGTTATGGTCATTTTCAGTTACAGTTCTCCAATTTTTTTTCCTCCGAAAGTGATGAAAGCAAGTGAATTTGGGCCTGAAAAATTGAGTTGGGGGGTTATACCTAGCCACTATTGTACAGTTCGAAAAGAGCTTCGATTTGGCATATTATAGACCTTGTAACGATTTCTAGATCAAAAGTTATGGTCGTTTTCAGTCACAGTTTTCCAATTTTTTTTTATTCCGAAAGTGATGAAAACAAGTGAATTTTGGCCCGAAAAATTGAGTTTGTGGGCTATGCCTGGCCGTAATTGTACAGCTTGAGAAAAGCATCAATTTGGTATATTCATGCATGATCTACCTTTTAGTTTTGTTGAATATGCAGGAATAAGGTCTATATTTCAGTACTTGCACCCTCAAATTCAATTGGTATCTAGAAATACTGCAAAGGCTGACTCTTTAAAGTTTTACAAGAATGAAAAGCTTCGAATTAAATTGATGTTAGAGACTACCCCAGGTAGAATTAGCTTTACTTCTAATGCATGGAGTTCTTTGACTAGTGATGGATATGTTTGTCTCACTGCGCATTTCATAGATAAGAATTGAAACTTGTAGAAAAGAGTGTTAAACTTTAGTTTTATGCCACCCTCACATAGTGACGTTGCTTTGTATGAAAAACTTTATGCCTTTTTGAGTGACTGGGGAATTGAGAAAAAGGTGTTTAGTGTGACATTGGCTAATGCTTCTACGAATGATGTTTCTATTGACATGTTAAGAGAGCAACTAGTTGTGAAAGGGGTTCTTGTACACAATGGCGATCTATTTCACATGCGATGTTGTGCATACATACTAAATTTAGTTGTGCAAGAGGGTTTGAAGCAGATTGATGATTCAATTGTTAAGATTCATGATAGTGTCAACTATGTCAAGGGATCCCAAGTGAGGAAGCAAAAGTTCTTCGATTGTGTGAAGTTAGTTGCAATTGGTGATAAGAAATGGTTGTGTCAAGATGTACCAACTAGGTGGAACTCGACATATCTTATGCTTGAAAGTGCTCTTTACTATCGCCGTATATTTCAACATTTAGAGTTCAGTGATTCAAATTACAAGCATTGTCCTTCTAGTGCCGAGTGGGACAAAGTTGAAAAGATTAAAACTTTTTTGAAGTTGTTCTATGATGCAACCCTTAAATTTTCTGGAACAAAGTATCACACTGCCAACTTGTACTTCCCTTCCATTTGGCATTGTTGCTTCATGTTGAAACAATATTCAGAAGGTGATGATGAGTACTTAAAGTATATGGCAATAGCAATGTGGGGCAAGTTTCAAAAGTATTGGTCTCAATTCCATCTTACCTTGGCTATAGCATGTGTTCTAGATCCTCATTTTAAGCTTGGGCTTGTTGAGTTCAGTTACAAAAAGCTTTATGGAGATGATTGTCTTGAATGCATATCAATGAGGAGTAAGTTGTACTCTATTTTTGAAGAGTACAACAAAAAAAAGAAGGATTCAACTAGCCAAAAGACAAATGCTTTTGAATCTTTTATGATGGAAAAAGAAGGAAATGATGATGTGGATGTTATATTCAAGGTAATTTCTCTATTTATTAGTAATGTGGATGTTCTATGCTTATGTCTAATTGTGTATTCTTATACTATATCCTTCTCATTTTGTAGGAATTTGATGAGATGTCTTCAGTTGGGTCTACTACCGCATCACATAAATCAGAGCTTGACCTTTATTTGGATGAGCCAAGACTGGCTAGGACCGCAGAGCTTGATATCCTTTCCTTTTGGAAATCAAACCAATTTCGATATCTAGCACTAGCTTATATGGCTTCTGATATATTGGCTATCCCTGTTTCTATAGTTGCTTCTGAAGCTACATTTAGTGTTGGTGGTAGAGTTCTTGATTCATTTCGTAGCTCACTTAAACCGAAGACAGTTGAAGCACTTGTTTGTACCAGAGATTGGTTATATGGAGACAAATGTAGTTTCAAACTTACTTAAATTATGTATATTTCCTATATTGATTTTGAACTAACTTGTATCTATATATATTTATTTTTGTGTAGATTTCAATGAAGAGGTGGAGGATCTTACACAATATATTTTTAACTTTTCATTGAAAGAAGAGGAGCCTTTCTCATAGGGATCAACTTCTCCTGAACGTAATGATGCACTTGGAGTCCCCCCACTGCAACAAATTATTTAAATGTTTAATTATTAATCATGTATGTTTGTTTTCTAAATTGTGAGACTTTTATGTGTTTATTTTTTAATTTGTGAGAGACTTTCATGTGTTTGTTTTAATTTTGAACTTAGATTATGTAATGCCTCTACATCATGTTAAACAGGTTGATAAACATGTTCAGAAATAGGTTCTGAAATAGGTTCTGAAATAGGTTCAAACGTGTTGACAATAATCATGTCATAAACGTGTTGACAGGTAATTAACGTGTTGACAGGTAATTAACAGGTTGACACGACACATTTACGACCTGTTTCGTAAACGTGTTGGCAGGTAATCAACGGGTTGACATGACACGTTTACGACCTGTTTAATAAACGGGTTAATCGTGTTGTGTCGTGTCAACCCGCTAATAAACAGGTCGTGTTTGGGTTTTGAATTTTGACACGATTAATAAACAGGTCGTGTTCGTGTCAGACCTATTCGTGTCAACTGAGGGGTTCAACATGACACGAACATGACCCGTTAACACGAATTGCCACCTTTAAGTACAGTTATAAAAAAAATAAAAAAATAAAAAGGAAAAAAATATCTTTTCCTTAAAACCGGGACGAGAGAGTCACATGAGCCGCATTTGTAATTTTGAAGCAACCAGGAGGGATAATTTTGTCATTGTATCAAAAAGTATCTTCGGCTCATACCATTGAATTCATCAAACTAATAGAACCAATGAAATCATAGCCGACGACGTGTCAATTGTCACTCCAATTTGAATAACTATAAATACAAAGGGCCCGTTTGTTTTCGTTTTTCACATTTTCCGAGGAAGAAAAATTGAAACGGGAAATGAAAACGTGTTTGAGAAGAATCCGTACCAAAACAAAAAATAAAAACGTTTTTGGATTTTTCCCAAAAACTCATTTTTTCTGAAAACGGATGAAACCCGTTTTTCATTTTCCTTTTTCATTTTCTCCCTTCATTCTCTCTTCTCCGCATCTCACCACGAGTTTTACTTGACAAGGTTTTTAACGAGGCAGTCATTTATGTGTACTTATTCGTATTATCTCAATTCAATAAAATCATATCTTTTGGGAGCATATGATATATTTTCTTTTTTTTAATTAAATATTACAAAAAAGAATTAAAAGGGCCAGGGCCGGCCAATGAAGGGCCTAGGCCCGGGCCCGGCCCTGGCCCTTATGGACTAGGGCCGAGGGTCAGTGCTGGACTTGAGAGTTTCTCCTTAGACCCAGCCCTAAACGGCCCAAGTCCACCATGGGCCTGGGGTTAGAAGGGCCGTGCCGGCCCGGCCCGGCCCTTTTGACATCTCTACAAATCCACCACACAAAAAAAAAAAGTCAGGTAAAAAAAAAAAAAAAAAAAAAAAAAAAAAACAAACTAACTCCAATTGGAGGATAAACGACATGCTCTCTTCCTTAACTAAACGACATTTTTTTTTCATATCCCTCCCTCTCTGAAGGACGTGGTTTTTCTTTATTTTCAACTGGAGGATAAACGACATTCGTGTTGAGTTTACAGCAAACAACATGAAATAAGACGCCGAGTTTTCAAAAATGGACTAGGCAACAAATTGTTTTTTTTTTGTGAATAATAAATATATTTTTCTAAATTTCTAATTATATAACGTTCGCTTTTATATTTTTCTAAATTTCTAATTATATAACGTTCGCTTTTATATTTTTCTGATCATGTACAAATGACCCTTTCTTACCCTATATAAAGAGAAATATAGTGCGTGTTTGTTTCTTTGGTTCAGTCTAGGGGTGTAAGAAATCACCTCGAATCCATCTAAATAGGCCTACCCGACCCTATCCTACCCAAAATTATAGTTTTTTTTCGGTTTAAAATTGGTCCAACCTACAATAGGCAGGTAGGGTCGCGGGCCAGGCTCCATTTACCCCGTATAACCCTACCCGGCTGAAAAAGTGTTAAAACAAAAAAGGAAGAGAGAGAGAGAGAGAGAGAGAGAGAGAGAGAGAGAGAGAGAGGAGAGAGAATGTGGATGAAGTGGTACAAGAATACTGAATCAGAGCTTTGTATTCGGCCATGGACACTCCAGTGAAGAGCCATTCCACCACTACTCCTTTCTCTTATCAATTCGAGGTCAAAACTTCTTGCCCTAAAATCCATCCCCAAAAGTTTCGCCGGAAATTCCTTCCTTATTTATGCTTTTCTTTTTTTGCACATCAATTTATTGCTTTTAGTTTTTAGTCTCTGAATTCAATTTTCTGCACTTAGATTTTTCTGTACATGCTTGATTCTTCATTTTTGTTCCCCTTTAGTTTTTTCCTTTTGGGTTTTACTAGAGCCAAATTATGTATTTAATCTCAAATAAGCTTGAATTGCTCTTCTCTCAGGTATCTTTGTTTTGTTGACGTTATTCATTACTAAGTGGGTTGTCTTTTTGGTTGATGTTTATTTGTCTGTCACCCGACTAACCCGAGTAATCTGAGCCTACCTGAGATCACCTGAAAGGTTACGGGTTTGTAGGCCTAAGAGGATGCTGCGACCTAAAATTTTCTCAACCCGTAGTGTGCAGCTCGGCCCAATTTTTTAGCCCAACCCGAGCCTACCCAGACGAATTACACCCCAGTTCAGTCCAATTCCGCTCAGTTTAAAGTTAAACAGCCCAACTGTTCAAATTGTTGTTTGTTCAGGTATTTATTTTGAATTATATGGGCTGTTCAGTTCGAATCAGAGTTTTACTCCGCTCCGCTCCACTTTTCAGACTAATTTGCTACAGTAACTTCATTCCACCATTCTATCCATTCACACCTCTCTTGGCGTGGGCCCCACTTTTCAAACCAATTTTTAGTTTTTTGCCGGTCTCAGCTCTCTCACCTTCCTTGGCGTGGGCCCCATTTTCTCTCCAAATAAAACAAATACACATGCAAATAGCATTTAGAGGACGTTTGGTTTGAGGATTTAAATCATGTGATTCGAATCATTTTTTATTTACGTGAATTTTTTGTGAGAGAAGATATTGTAGTGAACCACGAATCATGATTCAAATCAGGGAACGAATCCCTCTACTAAACATTCTCCCTCACCAAATAAATAAACTAGATTTGCAACCAAAATAAATAAATAAATAAATAGATTAGCAAAAAATAAATAAATTACTAAAACAAGAAAAACATAACTAAACAAAACTCATTTCAATTACAATTCTCAACTCTTTCGTGTATGTTCCAAATAATTATTCCAAAAAATTCATAAAGAAGGGTTTTTTTAACCTTATTATTATTTTTTATTTTTTAATATATTTTTGGTCATGTTTTTATTTCATTTGGCTGTATAAATTTCTAATCATTATCAACTTCAAAAACATGAATTTATCAATTAGAGAAAAAAAAAACTCCCAGTGCAAATGAGTTGTTCTAATTTTACAAAACACTAATTCGAATTTTATTTCCTATTCAAATTAAAAATTCTAATGTTCATCTAAACGCCAGTTCAAATTACTGTTTAAATTACACTGTTCGGATTTTTCTATTCAAATCAATACAATTCGAACCAACGAACTAAACAGTGTAATAGTGAATTTTATTCCCTTGCTTTTTATGCCAATGAATTTTGAAAATTAGATCCCTATAATTGAATTTTAGATTTTTATCTTTTTGAACTTGGGTGGGATTTAAAAACTATTTTGGAATTATTAGTTAGCTATGTTTGCAACCACTAGAATTGTTGGTTAAGAGAAAATTAGGTGCCATACTAAAACTCTTATACGTCATCATATTTATGATGTCGCTAACTTCTTTATGTTTTGGATTTATGTCATGTTAATTCTATATGCATCAACTATTAATTTTACATATTTTACCGCGTGTTTGATTTTAAACACGTCATCCTCTTCTTCTTCACAAGGCAAAAAAGATCTATTGAAAAACCGGAAAAGAAAAAATTACAATTCTACTATTTTGTTGTGATAAGCTACTCCTTTAATAATTATCTGTTAAATAAAAGACAATAATTTATCAAATTTTAGACAGTAATATGACAAATTAGACCCGCTGTCGTCAACATATGTTAAATTATTAATAATAATCTGTCAAATTACTTACTCTAAGAGGACAAAATTTAATAAACTAATGTTGAGACTTAAAAATCCTTAATTATACCATTTTTATGAGTATTTGTCAAAATTACCCAAATACAAAGCCATAAATTTTTAACAGTCAAAATTTATGTGGTATTTGCCAAAATTTAAAAAACCGGGACAAGTTGCTACATGCTATTACTAAAGAGTTTAATGACCAATTGTGTAAATTAACTTTTTAGTAAATAATACTCTCTTACAAGTTATATGATTAACATATAGTATTACCACTAGAAACATCAAACTCGGCTGTTACATATTCAAAAAGTGAAGTAACTAGTACATAGTCATGGCTAAACCAACAGGGAAAAGAAATAAATAAATAAAGAAAATAACAAAAAAAAAAAGCCTCATTATCTTCAAAACACGAATGATTTCACGAACTCTCTCCATTCTGTTATAATTTCATCAATCTCCTCTCACACATAAAACCTTTTTTTTTTTTTTGATGGAATCACACATGAAACCTTTACCTTAACTACAAAAGTAAAAACAAAAATAAAAATAAAAATAAAAAAGCGAAGACGAAGCAGGCTCTTATCGTTCCCCAGTGTAGGAGTCTCAACCATCAACAATGTCTCCTGCATCTTAGAAACTGGAACCTAAAATCTGAAATGCGAAAGGCAAAAAAAAAAAAAAAAAAAAAGAGGCCAGTATAGCAGCCAGTTAATAAATCTATCTAGTAGAGAAGTTTCCCAAGTAAGTCACTCAGGCTTAGTTTGATAGTGTTGTAAATTTTAAAAAAATTACTTTTAATTATACTGAAAAAAAAAAGCAGTTGTTATAAAAAATAATTGAGTGTTTGGTAAACTGTAATTATACTAGCTGTGCTGGTTCTAAAATCAGTGTAATAGCGATTAATAAATTGTGAAGTTGAATTGCTGTAGGTAGTTAAAATGATCAAAATAGACATGGTATGAAACTTAAATTTATATATAATTGTTTTGGTATTTAGAAATACTTGTTTAATTTATAAAAATAAAAAAAAAATAAAAATAAAAAAAACATAATGCTATGATTCTGAGTTTTCTAACAATAAATATATGATAGTTAATTCTTTTTTTTTCATTTCTTCATTCACAATATAGTTACAACAAAAAGACACATTAGTAAGTAATCAACATATACAATAAAAATGTGCATTTCATGTTCAAAAACTAATAGAGGCATGAAAAAAATTAAATCGTGTTAAACTTGCTGCAATTTGATCTCGTACTTTATCAATTTCCAGTGACAGTAAAACTTGACTTTCTTCTACATTGTCCTATGGTTGAGTCTCTTCATAAACGAAAACATCTCGATTATTTTCGACCCTTTAAAAATGTCTATCACGCTTATCATGCTTCCTAATGTAGTTATGGAGCGTCATTGTTGCAATAAATATTTTCACTTGCTTTGTAAATGAATAATTAGGCATGTCTCAAAATTTTCTATTTTTTCTTCTAGACATCAAATGTGCGTTCAATGACACTTCAAAGAGAAGAATGTGCTTAGTTGAATACCTCTTTATAGCCCGTTGGTCGACGACCCATTCGAAATTGTTGTAAATGGTATCGTTCTCCTTTATAAGGTCCAAAAAATCCTTTCAATTGTGGATAACCCGCGACAACCAAATAATATTTACCTATTGAAATAAAAACACAAGAATTAGTAAAATGTATAACATATATTTTATAAATATAGACAAGGTTTTAACTTTCTGGTGGTGTTGGAAAATTCACTGCGGATAGGTTCATCTGAGTCACTACTACTCCCAACATAATCAAGTAGAGCCTCCTTTATTATTTGCATTTTTATCAGGCTCACATGGAAGCACTCCGGATGAGGGTGTCCAAGAACACACTCTTGTAGCTAGTCTTTGTAAACATCCTATCTAACTTTTCTTCCAATTCTGGTTCAATAACCCGAGAGCGAAACTTCGCTGCAATAGGATGAATCTACAAGAGTTCTTGCATAAATTAAAAACCAAGCGCCAACACTAAACTACAAAAAAATTGAAGAATTTTATTGTGTATACCTGCAATTTATTATTCCATCACTCAGATGCATCAATAGTATTCTTCTTAATGTTCCAACTTAAACCAGTTTCCTTCCCAAGATGTTCCTTCCAAAGCTTCCAGTCATTCTTCAAAGCATCCCACTTATTCTTTAATTGTTGTCTTTTATATACTCTTGGTTACCTCATTAAATTTTTGAATTAAATTTTTCCATCCAATCTTCCACCTCTTTGATACACAAAAACGATCTACAGTCTCGGAGTCTTATACTGTTTTACCTCGTGGTATAGTACCCTCCATTCGAGAAATGATAACTGAAAGTCTAAAAAATCTCTCCTTAGTGAGCAAACAAACACTGATGTTCATATGAAATTCGTATGGCATGCATAATAATTTAATCACTTTCCAAAAAACATAGTAAAATATCCTAATTAATAAAAATCAAAGGAGAATCACAATCAGGAACAAAAATTAAGTGAAAAGTGAAAATCGAACTTAAGTAAAAATTTCAAGAGTTATAGCTTTACATAGTCTTCATTTAAGGGTTTGAGCCTTGAGTCTCAAAAAGAATACAGAGAAGAGCAAGTTATTAACAAAGAACAACCCAAGTGTAATTTTTAATTTTATCAGTCAAAATCCAAATCACAACGGCAAATCAATAAGCACTTCCTTGTGTACAACAAAAACACTAAAACTTGTACTGTCTAACCAGAAAACATTTCAAAAAGTTGATTTTTTTTACTTGTTTATGACAAGATTACATCATAAAATTCTCCATAGCATCAAGATAACACAAAAAAGGAGTTTATTTTTTTATTTTTTGTTAAAAAAAAAGAACAAAGTTACTCTTATCTCAACACGTGCTGATAACACACTCTAAAAATCCAACCTCCTACTTGTCTTATACAACTCTATTTAACAATGCATTTTAAGAGTCAACATCAAATAACCCAGGTATAAGCTCAGAAGTATGAGATCCTGCTTACTCAAATGATGAAGGGAGTCGCGTTAAGCTGCCAAACGGACACCAGTGAACACCAAAGGACTGCAAAGAGAAAATGAAACCAAACAGTATTAGATCTAGATCAAATTCATGCGGCTTTGTATCTATCCACCTCTTCGCAAAACAATGTTCATGCACATACCCAATAGAATGATAAAGATGAATCCTATTGAATGCCTTTGGTTTACATACTTTGACGGAAACTACATCACTTTTCACAGAAAAAGCCTTTTGAACCTAACTTCTAATCAGCAATCAGCAATTAGAGAATCACACACATTCAAACCAAAATCTTCCCAATCGAGAGAAAAAAATGAAGAATCACACACATAACTTGACTGGGCGACAAACAGAGCAGAGAAAAAAAAGAGGACGAAAATCTTCCCAATCGAGAGAAAATATAACTAAATCCCTACAAATGAAGATCAATCTGAAAACATAAACGAGAGCAATATGAAATTTCGGTCAAAACATAACCCAAATGGGTGACAAACGGAGCAGAGAAAAAAAAGGCCAAAATCTTCCCAATCGAGAGAAAACATACCAAATGGAAACAAGCGAAGAACAATCGAGTACTTACAGAGACTATTAATCCGATGAGCTCCAACCGCCAATCCCACAATCCAACGATGAATTCAGGAAACCCTGACGAGCATAGACCGAGAGAACAGAGAGAGAGGAGAGAGTCCACAAATCCCACAATCGCAGGAGGAGATTGGAATCCCTGACAACCACATAGGGAGACCGAGAGAACAGAAGAGAAGAGAGACAAACGGAGAGTCTGAGCACGAAGAGAGAGAGAGAGAGAGAGAGAGAGACGGAGAATGAGAGAATGGAGAGAGGGAGGAGACTGCGAAGATGAGAGCACAGACCGCGAACAGCAAATTTTTTTGGGAATGGGATTATTTTCACTCAGCAGGGGTAAGTAATGGGGTAATATTTAAAGTTTCATTAATGTGCCATAAGGGATTCCCGTACAATCTACAATCAGAAGCAGCCCAAAGGCTGCTTCTGATTTTAGCCTTAAATTCTTCAAAAATTGTCCAAGAATCACTTCTTTGGGTTTTTACCAAACACACATGACAGCTGTGGATGGCTAAATAAGTGCTTTTGAGCTCCTAGAATCAATACCAAACTGAGCCTCAAAGTTAGAATATTGCATGAAAATGCCATTTATAGCTCACCTTGTAATTAATGTGCCAATTGTAAATTTAGCATTTGAGTCCAAAAACCACTCTCCAATACAATACTATTTGTTGTGCCAAATTTATTACTTTGTGGCAAATTTCTCACCAAGTACATATGGCAAATTTGGCACTTGATTCCTATTGGCTAATATGGTTACCTTTTCATTTAATCATTACAACTTTTGCTTTTCCCAATTATTTTAGAATTAAAACTTTACATTTAAAACTTTCAAAGCTTATTGATGTAGAAAAAGTAGATTTTAGTATTTTAAATAGCACTATGCATTGGAGAACAACATATCAAATATTCCATTATTACATTTTTTGGTGTGAAATATACAATTGACATTAGCATTTGAATTGGAGATGATCTTACCAGGCTTTGAACTGAGCAGGCAAGCATTTCCTCTATATCAAGCTTGCAGTAATGCCAAGTTCTGTCCCATGACGATCAGCACCACCAGGAGCCAAAAATTTCAATCTGAACGAGTACCACAAAAAATATGTTTAAAAATGGAGACAAAAAGCTCTAATATTGCATTTGTCAATTATTATTATTAGACAGAATGCTATCGCAGAAAAATATTTGTACTTAGCTAGATAGATCTCCATAAAAATAACGATATAAACAAGATCAGTTTGCTTAAGAAATAACACATACATATAACAAAAGTGATAAAATGGATAAGTTAGGATTCATTCCATGGCTAATATGCTAAGCAAACAGATAGGCAATTTAACGAGAAGGTCTCCCAATCATCAATTTAATTTCTTTGGATCTCCATGGTAACATATCCATCAAATGTACTGGCGCATCAAAAGTTTACATCTAGTTTATAATCTCAATAAAATGCTTTTACAGGGAAGGAAAAAAAAAAAAAAAAATATGACTATACACACGGATGCTTCAAACCTATACGGTTGAAAGCTTTTTGAAATGGCTCGTGTTGTTTGATCCAGCACCAATCCTTCCTGGATAAATAAGAGGAAAGAAACACAATAACACTGCTGAGCTGAATTGATTCTTTCTGAATTAACGTACTAAAATATACAGAGTTTACAATACATTTATAGCCTGGCTTACCACTAACTTAGGAACAAAATCTAACTAACCAGAAAATTAGGAAATAAGCTAACTATAGCTCTAGATTACATATCATCCTAACTAACCGTAAATCCAGTATGTACACCTCAGCATTTTTAACTTTTCTACACTCCCCCTCAAGCTGAGTTGTAAGGACGTCTGCTGTTTGTTCTGTAGTTGAAACATAAAAAACACACAGAACTCCCTCTTCAATCTTTTCTTTAATGAAATACCTATCCACTTCCACATGCTTTGTTCGATCATGGTGAACTGGATTGTGAGACATGCTAATTGCTGCTTTGTTATCACTGTAAACTTTCAGAGGTTATTTCACAACAACCTTCAGCTCCTCTAGCAACTGTTTTAGCCAAAGAACTTCACATACACCGTGTGCAACAGATCTTAGCTCGGCCTCTGCACTATTTATGGCCACCACTGGTTGTTTTTTGCTCTTTCAAGTTACTAAATTTCCCCAAATAAATGTACAATACCCTGAAATCAATCTCCTATCATCAATCGAACCTACCCAGTCAGCGTCTGTGAAAACTTCAACACTTCTCTCACTGGTTTTTTTGAAAAACAGACCTCAACCAGGGTTGCCTTTTAGGTACTTCGGAACTCTATACACAACCTCCATGTGTTCCTTTGTGGGCGAGTGCATATACCGGCTTACAAGGCTCACTGTAAACGCTATGTCTGGCCTAGTGTGAGACAAGTAAATAAATCTCCCAACAAGCCGCTGGTATCTCCCTTTATCCATAGGCTCACCATTCAAATTCTCCCCTAATTTTAGGTTTGAATTGAACGGAGTATCCACTGGTTTATAGCCTAGCATCCCAGTTTCTTGAAGTAGGTCCAACACAAATTTTCTTTGTGAAACAAATATGCCTTGTTTGCTTCTTGCAATCTCCATGCCCAAAAAATACCTGAGGTTGCCCAAGTCTTTCATCTCGAACTCAGTTGCCAACTTTTGTTTTATTTGTTCCATCTCCTCTTTATCACCACCTGTCAAGATTATATCGTCCACATAAACTATAAGGACAACAATCTTACCGTTCACATGTCGATAGAAAATAGTGTGATCTGAGTGAGCTTGTTTGTAGTCTTGTTGCTTTAGATCCTTCGTGAGTCTGTCGAACCAGGCCCTGGGAGACTGTTTCAGCCCATATATTTTTTGTAATCTGCATACCTTACCACTGCCTTCATTACAATCAAAGCCTGGTGGCAAATCCATGTAGACCTCTTCTTCTAAGTCGCCATTCAGAAAGGCGTTCTTGACATCCAGCTACTGTAGTGGCCAATTTAAATTTGCTGCAAGTGATAGCAAGACTCTAATAGAGTTAATTTTGGCCACGGGGGCAAATGTCTCCTGATAGTCTATTCCATATGTCTGCGTATACCCTTTGGCGACCAGCCTCACCTTATAGCGCTCAATTGAACCACCTGACTTGTATTTAATGGTAAACACCCACTTATAGCCCACCAGTTTCTTATGCAGAGGTCTCTGTACTAATTTCCACGTATTATTTTTTTCTAGGGCATTCATCTCCTCCATAATAGCCTTCCTCCAACTCGGGCATTTCAGGGCATCCACCACATTCTTAGGGATTTCTTCATCTGCAAGGTTCGTTATTAGAGCTTGAACTGACTCAGACAAATTTTCATATCCCAGAAATTTTGATATGGGATGTTGTGTACATGTCCTGACCCCTTTTCTTACAACAATTGGCACATCTAGATCACCACTTTTCGTATTTGAACCCGACTCTGGATTGGGTTGTTGGCAGGGAGGATTTTCAGGATTATTGTCACTTTTCGAATTTTTCCTCCGAGAATAAGTCAGCAGTTCTGGCTGTGTGCAATACTCCCCCTGATTCGGATAAGTTTGTGGGATTTGGATTTGGTGCCACGTTTGACTCAAAGTTTGAATGAGGAAGACTTGTAGGTTGAGAGTTTTGAGGGCTGGTCTATTTGTTTGAATTATTCACAGTTTGAGTGGGATTTAAATTTTGCATTTGAGTAGATTGTGGATTTTCCTGGGATTCTAGAGTGAGACTCGGATTTTCCTGAGAACTTGGACTAGAATTTGAATTTTCACTCAAGGAAATAGGAGAAAAATTAGGCAAAGGATCCCAAAAAAATTCCCACAAATCTGCTCTGTTTTCACCCGAATTTAAATAACTCTCGTCACCAACCGAATTTTGCTCCACAAAATATTCTTCACTCGTACTCTCCCCCTGAAGATAATTTTTTGAAAAAAAACAGTTGATCCTCAAAAAAAGTAACGTCCATAGACGTGAAAAATTTCCTTTTTTCTGGGGAATAGCATCGAAATCCTTTGAGTGGCGGAGTAACCTACAAAAACACACTTGAGAGATCTAGGGTCTAATTTGCTTTGATTCTGGTCATGATAATGTACAAAGGCTGTACAGCCAAAAATTTTAAAATCCAAGGAAGAAGAAAGACGCGACTCAGGATACGACTCAAGTAGTTTTTTAACTGGTGTTTGAAAATTTAAAACTCGTGTTGGCAGACGATTTATCAAGTAGCATGCAGTTAAAATGGCCTCCCCCCAAAATCTTTTTGGAACCTTTGAAGTGAATAATAGAGCCCGTGCTACCTCTAAAAGATGGCGATTTTTTCTTTCTGAAATCCCATTTTGCTGAGGTGTATTTACACAAGAACTTTGGTGAATCATTCCATTTTTTGTTGTAAAGTTGGACAAGCAAGAATTGAAATATTCTGTACCATTATCGGTACGGAATATCTGTATACTCTTATTGTATTGATTTTTAATCATGGAATGAAAGTTTTGAAAAATTTTTGTAGTTTCAGATTTGTCCTTTAAAAGATACACCCAACAAACTCTTGTATGATCATCTACAAAAGTTATGAACCATCTTTTGTTGGTTAAGCTACGAATTCTAGATGGACCCCATATGTCACTATGAATAAGCATAAAAGGATAAGATCCACGATAAGATAATGAAGGATAAAGAACTCTTTTATGTTTTGCTAATTGACAAACTTCACATTGAAAGGAATCTTGAGTTTGAAACAATGATGGAAACAAATACTTTAAATACGCAAAACTATGATGACCTAACCTACAGTGTAACACCATTATTTTCTCCTTCCTAGACACAGTGGTATTGCACACTGCAGCTTGAACCCGACTATTCACGTTAGACTCCTCGAAGTAATATAACCCTTCGAACTCTCTAGCACTGCCAATCGTCCTCCCTGAAGTCTGGTCCTGAAAAATACAAGCTGATTGTGAGATTTTTACCATACAATTTAAATCTTTAGTAACTTTGCTAGCAGATAATAAATTGCATGATAATTTTGGTAAATGGAGAACAGATTTTAAAGTGATCTTTGGACTCAATTCAATGGTCCCAATTCTAGCCACCGTTGTAAAGGACCCATCCGCTATCTTCACTTTGTGAGTTCCAGGACTAGGAGTATAGGAAGTGAACAAATTCCCACAACCTGTCATAAGGTCTGTGGCCCCAGAGTCCACTATACATGATTCCCCACTAACAGATATACTGCCAAAAGCTGTAAAGTTCATACCTTTTTGTACCAAAAAGGAGGTACCCGTAGACTGAGGATTTGCGGTTTGAGTGGCAGCTAAAAGTTTGCGTAGCTAGTCCATTTGCTCCTTTATAAATGTCATGGCTGAATTGCTGTCAATCTTTTTTTCTGCCTCAGAACCTTGAATTGTTTGGAGCCCTTTAGCCTCTCGGCTTCTTTGTCTATTTGGTACCCAATCTACTGGCTTTCCATGCAGCTTCCAACAGGTCTCCTTGGTATGATGTGGGCGTTGACAGTGGTCACACCACAACTGAGGTTTCTTGTTTCCTCGTCCTTAAGATCCTCTGGCTTGTGTTCTCGTTCAGCACCACCTTCTTCCGCCATTCTTCCTTACGGACTTCAGAGAAAATTTCCTCAATCGATGGTTCGTACAACTCCTTATTAAGTCCAGCTAAGAAGTCGTAGACCCTGTCTTTGTTGATCATTTGCTGATGAAGTACCGCATCTTCTGAATCTCTCCAGTTGCAGCTTTTGAATAAGTCCAGTTCCTGCCACAGCTTTGTGTGGTCGTTAAAATATTAGGTCACATCATTCTCCCCCTGCCTAAGAACCCGTGCTCTGTTTCTCAATTCAAACATCTTAGAGGAGTTTTCAAGGTCTGAATAGGAGAGGGTTACAGCATCCCAAATCTTATTTGCCGTGGGAAAAAATAGATAAGTTTCCCCTATCTTTTCTTCCATGGAATGAATTAACCACGCCATTACCATGGAATTCTGTGTGTCCCAAGTTGGGAATGTTAGGTCATCAGTACTAGGCATGGCAATGGTGCCATCCAGATACCCTATTTTTCCTTTGCCTCTAATAACCATTTGAATGGATCGAGACCATTGAAGGAAATTTTTTCCATTTAGTTTATGCGTGGTAATCTGTAAAGAAGTGCTTTCAGAAACCGCAATGGGAGCAATTTTAGGAGTTGGCTAATTGGTAACCGGGGTTACCTCAGTGCCATCAATCCTGCTTGCATCCGACATTATTTCTCTCTACTCAATATTCCCTTTAATCGCTCTGATACCATAAAGGTAAATAAGAGGAAAGAAACTGTTAGGATCCTGAAAATCTATGCTTCATTAACAATACTAGAAATAGAAAATTACAAGATAGATGGGCGGTTTCGAGGACCCCCGACCTCCAAAATAGTGCACAGTACTAGACACTCTCTACAAATCTGATTCCACCCTCCCTAGCCACTAAACCCCCTATTTATACTCTCCTTAAGACTATTGAAAAAGACTTCTAAATATTAGGTTCCTAACATTACCCCCGCCCCAAAGAATCACCTTGTCCTCAAGGTGAAAATCAAGAAATAAAATTGAAAAATAACATCTAAATGATTAAGAATAAAAGGCTTTGTTAGTTCCTTGATTTGAGTCCCCAATTTGATGTTATCCTCGCAAGTCATATCTTCAAATTGGAGCCAATCAATTACTTTCTTCTCCATCTTCTTTGTATCTTGGAAAGCAAGCACAAAGTCTATCAATTCATTTGAAACTCTTTGCGCAAGCTCATCAATGGTCACAAAAAATATTGGCAAATCGATCCTCACCAAGGGAGTTTCCTTCTTAGCCAACCAGGACATCAACCTTTCAGCCTCACTCTCACCAATTTCTTCATTCTCATCTGCAATCGTACCATTCCAGCCCCAAAAGTGTTAAAGTTTTGAGGCTCGACTGCCATTGCACCAGAATTAGGCCTACTAATATTGTAATTACGAGGCCCAACCCCAAAATTGACTCTGCCCATACCAAAAACACTAGACCCAGCCCACTTCCGAACAGAATTTCGGGATTCAACCTCAAAATCGCCAGATTTCGCATCGGAATTCCCCGTCCTAGCCATCATCTTGCCAGAGCTAGCCCCAATGGCGTCAAAATCACAAAACCCAGCCTTAAGGGCGTCGGAATTCATCGACCCCACTCCAATTCCGCCGGAATCTTCCTCCGTAGCACCGGAACCAGCCCCTTTCACGCCGGAATCGCGAGGCCCGGTCCAAATAGTAGCCAAATCGTCAAGCCCAGCCTCCGTCGCGCCGGAATCTGTCGCTGCAGCACCGGAACCAGCCCTTTCCACGCCGGAATTGCGAGGCCTGGTCCAAACCGGGCCGGAATCAGCCCCAACCGCGACCGAATCAGGGCTGGGTTCCCTGTTCCGAGGGTGCCCATGTCGTCCCAGCCTCGGAGCAAGCCTCTCCTCCTCTAACTCCGGCTCCCATTACACTTCCCGTCGCCGACCAAGCTCCGCCGCCCTCTCCCGACGGTCACGACCTCCTTCTGCCCTCCTCCCGTCGTCGAACAGACCCTTGCGTTGTAGATCCGGAGCACCCAGCCCCAGATTGTGACGGATCTCGCACTCTTCCATCAGACCCACATCTCTCCGGCGTCGGAACTCCCTCTCGCGGCCTCGATCTTCGCGAATCGGCGCTTCCCGGCGAAGATCCACCCGATTTGGCACCTTCACTCCGCCTGGGTCGATGCGATCTTGGCTCTCCTCGCCCCGAGGCGCACGATCTCGCCTCTCCCCGTCCCGTCGTTCGCCGTCGCGACCCAACTCGGCCTCCCCGGCCATCGGCCGCACCACCAGCAGTGCCTCCATCCTCCGCAGCGCCGCCTACACGTCACCCATCTGGGTCCGAATCTTCCCCACATGGTCCTGGAGTTCCCCCATACTCCCTCCAAAAACCTTGTGATTAGCTCTTAGAGCAGCCCGAAGTTTCTCTCTCAACTCAAAGAGCTCCGTGGATCATAGATGCTCTGATACCATTGTTAGCATCCTGAAAATCTATGCTTCATTAACAATACTAGAAATGGAAAATTACAAGATAAATGGGCGGTTTCGAGGACCCCCGACCTCCAAAATAGTGCACAGCACTAGACACTCTCTACAAATCTGATTCTCCCCTCCCTAGCCACTAAACCCCCTATTTATACTCTCCTTAAGACTATTGAAAAAGACTTCTAAATATTAGGTTCCTAACAGAAACACAATAACACTGCTGGGTTGAATTGATTCTTTCTGAATTAACGTCCTGAAAATATACAGAGTTTACAATACATTTATAGCCTGGCTTACCATTAACTTAGGAACAAAATCTAACTAACCAGAAAATCAGGAAATAAACTAACTATAGCACGAGATTACACATCATCCTAACTAACCGTAAATCCAGTGTAAATCCAGTATGTACACCTCAGCATTTCTAACTTTTCTACAGTTTGATCCAGCACCAATCCTTCCTGGATAATCCTTGTGAAGCCTGAGAGTAGTGACATCTAGTTTTGTTAACCTTTTAATGGGTCATGTTATAGGAAACAGAGATTAATTAAAAATATACTGGTTTCTCCGGATCAATTGCTGAAAACAGAAAATAAGAACCTAAAGTTAAAGAAGAAAGAGTGAGCACTTGAAATAACCACTAGACACATTTCTTAAGAATCCAGCACTGACAATACTGAAGCAAACCAGCTATGACTTGTCAACCTTTTCAAGCATGTTATACTAGATATAAGATGATCACTTGCAAGCATTACACAGGTACCGTTTTAGTTTTTACATTAAGATTTCCTTATTTTTCTAACATAAATGTCTAAACAATGTCAAGAGAAGGGGGGGGAAAAAAGATTAAATTCACCCAGGAGGAGAGTAAGGTAGGAGTTGGAAAGTAAACTTACAAGAGTCCACACTGATTAAAGTATATCCATTTAGGATAGACCTTTTCCCGGTTCTCAGCTACACTCGGTTGTATCTTTATCCTTGCATCTGCACATTGTTTCTGAATTACATAGCGTTTGCCAAGAAGATGCTGCTCCAAAATGCTGCGGTGACAGCAAGTCATTGAAACAGATCAATTCCGACCACTGCCTTATATCTCAAAACAAGATAAATTTGATTGTACCTCGACAAGTCAATATATCTAAAACAAAAAAGAGGAGAACCAAGTATACAAAACAAATGTATGTATACGTTAAATCAACGATCATGAGTTATATATACACACACACATATATATAAAATTATCTCAACTTCAATCTATACCTGCTGTATCCAAGACCCAAATGTTAACTAAGCCAAATATCCAACTTCATCATCTCCACCTTTTCTATGTTTTTTTTTTTAATAGCCTATGGCTCCTACTATATTAAGAAGAAATAAAACCACCAGGATTTAAATCCTGGATCACACATTCACGCACTCAACTACTTGAGCTAGCCTTAACTGGCATCTACACCATTTCTATGAAAGTAATAGAGAAACATATCATAAGTGTAAACAGAAGATATAATGGACATGAATATACAATTTGATACCAAAACGCCCAAGAAAAAAATGAACCAATGACACTCAATACAAAAAACAATATGCTTTGTGGAATACAAATATAAGAAAATTTTCTAACTGTACTGGCAATATGATATGCGGATCATGCATTTATCCAGTTCACCTTCAAAACAAATAAAAAATAAAAAAATTACAGCATCCTTGTTCAGTCTCCTATCCTTGAAACGAGGCTACGTCCAACTTGTGATAAATAGCATATAAAATAGCATAATAGTGGGGTGATTAGTTCTTAATCTCACCTCACCCAAAGTTATTGTATGGATGCCTTACGCCTATAAGCACGAATTTTTTTCAAAGTGTTGTGTGTTACATGATTAGGCGCCAATCCCTTTTGGATCATGTCATTGTAAAGCTTGAGAGCGATGCCGAATTTATTAATTCGTGCATAACCATTAACCAAGGTGTTATACGAAATCGTATCAGGAAGAACACCCTTTTTTGCCATCTGATCAAACACGTCTTTTGCTTTATCCATTTTACCTTGCAGACAGTATCCCTTAATCAAGATGTTATAAGTAATAATATTAAGCTCTTTATTTTGTTCAATCATTGCATCAACTAATTTCTGAGATTTCTCCATCATCCCTTCATCGGACAGAGCATTCAAAATTACATTTAGAGTTATATTGTCAGGAAAAATCTTCTGACTAGCCATGTCACCAAATAATCTCTCGGCTTCTTCAAATCTACCTGAATGGCACAATCTATTAAGTAAGAAGCTGTAGGTCATGCCATCAGGAAGCGCACCTTTATTAATTATTGCTTCAACAAGATGAAGCGCCCCTGTGGTTCTCCCTTGCTTGCACTGAGCATCCAACAAAATGTTGTATGTAACAATATCAGGAGAGACTCCGTAGTTGGTCATATTTTCTATGAAATCGGTCACTTCTTTCCATCGACCATGCTTGCACAAAGTAAATATCAAAGAATTGAATGTCCAAACGTTAGGCTCTATGCCTTTCCTAGTCATCAACTCAAATAGCGAAATTGCTTCTTGAGTTTTGTTTTCCTTGCAAAGAGAATCAATCAAAGTTGTACACGTAATCGTATCAGGTGAAACTCCAAAATCAAGCATGTCAGCCAAAACTCTCCTGGCTTCTTCCCAACGACCTGATTTGCTCAACCCAAAAATCAAAGCATTATAACAGATGATATTTGGCACTACACCACAGTCAATCATATCTAGAAACAGGCTCAAGGCCTCATCTATCCGTCCTTCTTTACAAAAGCTATCAATGATTGGACTAAAACAATGCAAAGTGGGTTTAATCCTCTGGTTATTAAACATTTGCTTAAGTAGCTCAAGCGCCTTCCAAGTTTCTCTGGCCTTACAAAAGCCATTAATGATAATCGCAAAAGTGAAATCACTATAAGGGTGTTCCTTCTCTACTATTTCCTGAAACAACTCCGACGCCGCCGCGAACGAGCCCTCCTTGCAAAGCCCGTCAAGCAGTGTATTCAGTGTAGAAGCATCGTGCCGATGGCCACCCTTAAAGATAGTTCCCAGAACAGAGAAACCAAATTTCACCTTCTTCAAACAACAAAAACACTTGATAACAATATTCATTGTACCAACATCGGGCCGAAAATGATCACAACCCATCATCACTCTATACATAGAGACAACAGTGGAATACTGATTCATGTTGGAGAGTGAGCCAAACAATTGATTGAAAGCCCAAATAGAGGGAATGGGACGAATTTGAATCATGGAATTGAAGTAACCCAAAGCTTCTTCTACCGTTAGGTTTCGAGATTTACACCGTGTTTGGATCAATTTCTCCAAATGGGCAACAGAATTCTGAAAAATACTGCTACGAGATGCATAAGAACGGAATTGGGTAGTGAAATTTCCGAAGAGACGAAAGATATAAGGATTACCAGAAGCCCTTGCGGTAACCATTGCCATTTGGTGCTTTCTTTGTTCCGCAAGCCGGAGAGGAGCTAATCAAGGGCGAAGCAAATGGATTTTAACTTTTGTGTGTGCGTTCGGGTAGTGAAATTTCCGAAGAGACGAAAGATATAAGGATTACCAGAAGCCCTTGCGGTAACCATTGCCATTTGGTGCTTTCATTGTTCCGCAAGCCGGAGAGGAGCTAATCAAGGGCTTTTACTTTTGTGTGTGCTTTCTCTCTCTCTCTGTCTCTCTCTCTCCTCTCTCTTCTTGCTGTTGTTTCTCGAAAATATTTTACCGAGATTTTTGTGTTATTAGAACAAAAGGACGAGCTCGATGGTCATGGTCTCGGTATTCAACAAGTTTTTTTTTTTAGTTTTTATTTATTTATTTATTTTCATTTTGAGCACCTTAAATCTGCATTTATTTCACTAATTTGAGTTTTTAATTTCAATTTTATTACAGTTAAAAGCTCTCATAAGAAATTATATTTAACTTTTCTACTATAGTGAAAAACTCTCATATAAAATCACATTTTAACTCAAATTAAAAACTTAAATCCACAAACTCAACGAGTCCTAAATATTTTAACATTTTATTACAAACTCGGTCATACTTTAACGTCGTTTTTATTTTATTTTATTTTTCAAATACGAAAAATAAGAAAAATCATAAAATATGAAATATTCATCAAAACATTGTGCCGCTTGTTGCATTAATTCTTAAAAATCGTATATTAATTTTAGAATGTAAAACATAAATAAAAATGTAAATTTTTTCCCCATGGGGGTCCCAGGGGTCTCTCGGGGGTCTCCTGAGAGTGTCCTGGGGGTGTCCCTCCGTTGTCCCGGGCGTGTCCCGGGGGTGCCCCGGGGGTGTCCTGGAGGCGCCCCGGGGGTGTCCCGAGGTTGCCCCAGGGGTGTCCCGAGATTGCCCCGGGGATGCTCTAGGGGTGCCACGGGCGTGCCCCGAGGGTGTCCCAGAGGTGTCCCGAGGGTGTCCTGGGGGTGTCCCGGAGGCGCCCCGGGGGTGTCCTGGGGTTGCCCCGGGGGTGTCCCGGGGGTGCTCTGGGGGTGCCACAGGCATGCCCCGGGGGTGTCCCGAGGGTGTCCCGGGGGTGTCTCGAGGGTGACCCGGGAGTGCTCCGGGGGTGTCCCGGGGGTGCTCTAAGGATGCCCCAGGGGTGCCCATTTTTCGCAGGCATGCCCAGAAAAATGTAAGGTTCATGTCTACAAAATTTTAGAACATTTTGACATCATTTTTAATTTATTTTATTTTTCAAAGATGAAAAAGAAAGAAAATCATAAAAAATAAAATATTCCTCAAAAAATAGTGTCGTTTGTTGCATTAATTCCTAAAAATTGTATATTAATTTTAGAATGCAAAACATAAAAGAAAAGGTAAATTTTTTACCCATCTCAGCCCCTAGCCGCCCCACTACGCGGACAGGGGGCTTTTTGACAGCATTTTACTTTTCTGTCATTTTCTAGGGCCATCTTTTACAGGCATGCCCAGAAAAATGTAAAGATCGTGTCTGCAAAATTTCAAATCTTTTTTACATCATTTTTATTTTAATTTTTTTTCAAAGATGAAAAATAAAGAAAATCATTAAAAAATAGAATATTCGTTAAAAAATGGTGCCGATTGTTGCATTAATTCCTAAAAATCGTATATTAATTTTGGAATGCAAAACAAAAATAAAAATGTAAATTTTTGACCCATCCAAGCCCCTGGGCGCCCCATTACGCGGGCCGGGGGCTTTTTGACAGTGTTTTACTTTTTTGTCATTTTTTGGGCCATTTTTTCAGCATGCCTAGAAAATTGTAATGATCGTTTTTGTAAAATTTCACAATTTTTTGGACATCATTTTTATTTTATTTTATTTTTCAAAGATGAAAAATAAAGAAAATCATAAAAAATAGAATATTCATCAAAAAATGGTGCCAATTGTTGCATTAATTCCTATAAATCGTATATTAATTTTAGAATGTAAATCATAAATAAAAGTATATATTTTTGACCCATCCCAACCCCTGGACGCCCCTCTATGCGGACCGGGGGCTTTTTGACCGCATTTTATATTTTTTTGTCATTTTATGGGGCCATTTTTTGTAGGCATACCCAGAAAAATTTAAGGAACGTTTCTGCAAAATTTTAGGTCTTTTTGACATAATTTTTATTTTATTTTATTTTTTAAAGATGAAAAATAAAGAAAATTATAAAAAATAGAATATTTATTAAAAAATGGTGCTGCTTGTTACATTAATTCCTAAAAATTGTATATTAATTTTAGAATGTAAAATCTAAATAAAAATTTAAATTTTTGACCCATCCTGGCCCCTGGTCGCCCCATAACGCGGACAAGGGTTTTTTGATAGCTTTTTACTTATTTTGCCATTTTTTGTTGCCATTTTTTTCAGGTAAGCCCAGAAAAATGTAAGGATCGTGTCTGTAAAATTTCATAATTTTTTTATGTCATTTTTATTTTATTTAATTTTTCAAATACGAAAAATAAGGAAAATCATAAAAAAAAATAGAATATTCATCAAAAAAGGGTGCCGCTTGTTGCATTAATTCCTAAAAATGGTATATTAATTTTAGAATACAGAAAGTAAGTAAAAATATAAATTTTTGACCCATCCCGGCCCCTGGGCGCCCCACTACGCGGGCCGGGAACTTTTTAACAGCGTTTTACCTTTTTGTCATTTTTGGTTGCCATTTTTTGCAGGTATGCCCAAAAAATGTAAGGATCATGTTTACAAAATTTCAGAAAATTTTAACATCATTTTTATTTTATTTTATTTTTCAAAGACGAAAAATAAAGAAAAAAATAAAAAATAGAATATTCCTCAAAAAATGGTGTCATTTGTTGCAATAATTCTTAAAAATTGTATATTAATTTTAGAATGTAAAACATAAATAAAAATGTAAATTATTGACCCATTTCGGCCCTTGGGCGCCCCACTATGCGGGCCGGGAGCTTTTTGACAGCGTTTTACTTTTTTATCATTTTTTGGGGCAATCTTTTGCATGCATGCCCAGAACAAAGTAAAGATTGTGTCTGCAAAATTTCAGAACATTTTGACATCATTTTTATTGTAATTTATTTTTCAAATTTGAAAAATTAGAAATATCAGAAAAAATAAAATATTCTTCAAAAAATGGTGTCGTTGTTGCATTAATTACTAAAAATCGTATATTAATTTTAGAATGCAAAATTTAAATAAAAATGTAAATTTTTGAGTCATATGGGCCCCTGGGCGCCCCACTACACGGGATGAGGGCTTTTTGATAGCGTTTTAATTTTTTTTGTCATTTTCTGGGGCTAATTTTTTGCAGTCTTGCCCAGAAAAATGTAAGGATAATGTCTACAAAATTTCAAATCTTTTTTACACCATTTTAGTTTTATTTTATTTTCAAAGACAAAAAATAAAGAAAGTAAAAAAATAGAATATTTATCAAAAAATGGTGCCGCTTGTTGCATTAATTCCCAAAAATCGTATATTAGTTTTAGAATGCAAAACATAAATAAAAATGTAAATTTTTTACCCATCCTGGTCCCAGAGCACCCCACTACGCGGGTCGGGGACTTTTTGACAGTGCTTTACTTTTTTTTGTCCTCTTTTGTTGCCATTTTTTGTAGGCAAGCCCAAAAAAATATAAGGATCGTGTCTGCAAAATTTCATAATTTTGTGGACGTCATTTTTATTTTATTTTAATTTTCAAAGACGAAAAATAAAGAAAATCATAAAAACTAAAATATTCTACAAAAAATGGTGCCTTTTCTTGCATTAATTCCTAAAAATCGTATATTAATTTTAGAATGCAAAACATAAATAAAGTACAAATGCTTGACCTATTCCGAGCCTTGAACGCCCCACTACGCGGGCGGGGGACTTTTTGATAGTATTTTACTTTTTTTGTCATTCTCTCGGGCCATTTTTTACAAGCATACCCAGAAAAATTTAAGGATGGTGTCTGTAAAAGTTAAAATCTTTTTGACATCATTTTTATTTTATTTTATTTTTCAAATGCGTAAAATTAAGAAAATCATAAAAAATAGAATATTCATCAAAAAAATGGTGCTGCTTGTTGCATTAATTCCTAAAAAATGTATATTAATTTTAGAATGCAAAATAAAAATAAAAATGTCAGTTTTTAACCCATCACAGCCCTTGGGTGCCCCAGTACGCGAGCCGATGGTATTTTCACATCGTTTTACTTTTTTTGTCAATTTTAGGGCCATTTTTTGTGGGCATGCCCAGAAAAATGTAAGGATCGTGTCTTCAAAATTTCATAATTTTTTGGACGTCGTTTTTATTTTATTTTATTTTTCAAAGTCAAAAAATAAAGGAAATAAAAAAAAATAGAATAGTCATCAAAAAATTGTGCCGTTTGTGCATTAATTCCTAAAAATCGTATATTCATTTTAGAATGTAAAACATAAATAAAAGTATATAGTTTTGACCCATCCCGGCCTCTGGGCGCCCCACTATGCGGGCCGGGGGCTTTTTGACAGCGTTTTTTTTTTTGTCGTTTTCTGAGGCCATGTTTTGCAGGGATACCCAAAAAAATCTAAGGATTCTGTGTGTAAAATTTTAGATCTTTTTGACACCATTCTTATTTTATTTTATTTTTCAAAGATGAAAAATAAAGATAATCATAAAAAATAGAATATTCATCACAAAATGGTGCCGCTTGTTGTATTAATTCCTAAAAATTATATATTAATTTAAGAATGTAAAACATAGATAAAAATGTAAATTTTTACCCATCCCGGCCCCTGGGCGCCACACTACGTGGGCTGGGGACTTTTTGACAGCATTTTACTTTTTTGTCATTTTTTAGGGCCATATTTTGCGGGCGTCGCCAGAAAAACGTAAGGGTCGTGTCTGCAAAATTCCATAATTTTTTAACGTCATTTTTATTTTATTTTATTTTTATTTTTTAAATATGAAAAATAAGGAAAATCATTAAAAATAGAATATTCATAAAAAAAAATGGGGCCACTTATTGCATAAAATCCTAAAAATTGTATATTAATTTTAGAATGCAAAACATAAATAAAAATGTAAATTTTTCCCCCGGGGTGCCCCAAGGGTGTCCCGGGGGCGTCTGGGGTGCCCCGGGGGTGTCCCAAAGTTGCCCCGGGAGTGTCGCGGGGGTGTCCGGGAGCGTCCCGGTGTGCCCTAGGGTGTCCCGGTGGTGCCCCGAGGAAAACCTTGATAAGTTTGGAATAGTTCTTCAAGAACTCAAGAAGAATATCT